ATTTGAGGTTATTGATGTAATGATCCTACTTCTTGCAGTACCCATGCTTAGCATGTCGATCAGCATAATTTTTGACGTTTATCACGTATGTTTCGTTTTTTTGTCAAAGCATGAGTTCGGTTCAATTACTGCACCACGTTTTACAGAAAACTTTTAAATAATGAAAACAATCTAAATCTTGAATGGAATTTGCAGTTGTTTAAAACGAAACATATTCAAAATAGCAATTTACGAAATATACTTTCTCTCTACGATATTTCAATGAAATCGCACACAAGTGAGCGTTTAGCTAATTTCTAAACTTCTAGGCGAGCTCCTGTACAGAGCAGCAATCGATTGTGATGAATTTGACCCTGACATGCGTCAATCGATCGAATCTAGTAATCACGGTGGGAATAATCTCTTCTCGTCACCTGTACCTCGACCGTTTGTTTATCGAGTTGCACCAACGTAAAAGTCTTACGAAATGAATTTCGCTTATCAGCGAAATCGTGGCGGAGAACTCATGCGCTTATTTATTTAGTTCTTCAATCGACCGCTCGCTACGTAATTGCTGGCCACTGATTATTGTGAACGGAAAGTAATTCTGGCCGGCATTAATAGAGTGACGAACAGGTAGCCGATGGACGCTGTTGCCGTGAGTATTTTGTACGTTCTCCCGTCCCTTTATCGTAAGGCTCTGGGTAACGTTTTTTTATTTTTTATCTTTTCTGATGGCTCATTGGCTTCTGGGTAAGTTAGTGTAGACATTCTCGGAGGTCATCAATGACACGTTTAGCCCACTCGCTGATCAGTGATGCAATGAGCCCATAGACAGGGTAAAAATCAAACTTGCACAAGTTGCTAGCTTGTATTGTTTCACCACAATTATTTAACCTCGAAATTTACGCTCAAACTGGAAAAAAAACACATTGGATCTAGAGTCCAGACTCTTGAAAACATTGACAAGAAAAAGGTCTCTTGATTTACGCAGATTTAAGCTTAAATCAAAAGAAAATCCGCTCAAATTAAGAGGCTTGGTTCTTGATTTAAGCTTATAAATCTGATTGAATCAAGAGTATTTTTTTCTTGTCGACGTTATAAGTGTCTGGACTTTAGATCCAATGTGTTTTTTCCAGTGCTTCAGAAAAACCTCAATCAATTTGGTTCAAATCAGCCATCGGAAAAAAACTATGTGGACCCAAAACTATTCTACCATCCTGGAATATAAAATATTCGGGCCCTATTTTTAGGGTCGTATTCATTTGCGTAGTTCCTTTCAGAGGCTTCATACACAGTGGCGTGGCGTGCTTTGCGATATATCGATTGGGTAGCGATTTAAATTTATGAAAAGGATCGATAAAAATGGTGTTCGCAACGAACACCTTAATAATCGATTCTTTACCACAACTTTAAATGGAAAAATATCGATAATTGATCATTCACGCCTCGCCACTATTTATATAAGTTACATTGTGATTATGAAGGCTCTAACTCCTTTAACTCCTAACCCCCCTCCCTCCACAAATCCTAAGTCTTCAGTGTGAACAGACTGATCTTAACACAAACTGTAAATTAGAACAACACTTACGACACTACAAAATAAATTATTTGCAGCACATTGTGGCAACGTGGAGGGTTTCAAAACGATGGAGTGGTAGAACGGGAGCTTGGTTGCGGCGCGGAGCCTTGATGTATGCAAATCGATTCCTCGGATTTTTAGTCGGCTAAACACTAATATCCAGTAATCCCAGGTCGAATCGCGCCGAGCAGGCGCTGGCTCACGGCCCAAGCCTCTAATTGAGAGCTTGGTAAACAGCTGTCTCCACCTGAGCCCACCGATTCTCATCCGATCAAACTTCAAACGAGCTTTGAACTTTCATCCGACCGTAACTGTGAAATCTCGAAAAGACATCCGCAAATTTTTAAATAATAATGTTTCCATCGGCCATGCAGGGTGTGTTTGTCGGCGCGTCTACTTTCCTGTTTCTGCGTTTAAGTCCCTGAAGTTATCCCTGTATTTTGACATCTTGGTGATCTCTCGTTAGTCTCGCTTTGTTCAGCATGAACCTTTTTTTTTAAACAATAAGTTCAAGTAACTCGCGTTATCATCGGTGCGCCTACTTTTCTGTCTCTGCGTTCAAGTCCCTGAAGATATCCCTGCATTTTGCCATCTTGGTGATCTCTCGTTGGTCTCGCTTCATTCAGCATGTTTAAAAAAAAAAAAAAAAAAAAAATAGTGTTGCCATGCTTCAAGTAACTCGCGTTTTCATCGGTGCGCCTACTTTTCTGTTTCTGCGTTAAAGTCTCCGAAGTGATTCCTGCAATTTGCTGTCCTAACGATCCCTTACGTGGTTCAGCATGAACAAATTTATAAATAACTAGGGGGTATGCCCTCTGACCGCTTCGTTGTCCAAGCCTCCCCTCCTTGAAGTGCTTCGCGCCTCAGGCATTATGCGTTATGCATTCACTATTTACATGAGACTTTGTGCAAGCCTGTCTACTTTCAAACTTATTTATGCTAGGAAGTGATCTTCATAATCTTCGTAACACCTAACAGCTTTCAACGAGTTTTACATTTTCATTTGCCAAACATGCTATTTCTCTGATTTTGAGGTCATTCAACAGCTCTATTTAACATTGCAATCTAATTCATATATCTAAACGTGAACACCCTACGGCACTAGTAATACGCGACCTTAATAATAAACGACGATGGTTTGATTTAGAAATTCAGCCGAGATTCGTCCGACGAATTTGTTATTAAATGTTATCCAGGGATTAATATACGGTTCGGCGTATACATACGCATGATAGCCGATGATTTTAATTCTGAATAATAAAACCAAAACCTATTCCCTAACCTGTTGGGCCCAACCGTGAAAATTTAATCAGCTGCTAGTCAATAATCTGAAGTCTCCAGTTTGTTTGAGCGCTTCGGTGATTGACTCGGCTGCGAGCGAAAAGTTTGAAGTGAAAGTCTGATTTTGTTTGCTCAACGCGGACACTGCGTGTAGGGTCCGATTCTGATTCTGTATCGTAGGAGCTTAAATTAATGAGCGGATTCTAAGCTCCTTTCTCTTCGGGGCTGCCAGAGGAGAGGTTAGGATAATTTGCCCGAAAGATTTAATCAACGAATTATTGCTGTCGGCTTTTGCTAATGATATAATAGCGTTAAATTATATTTTCGCGGCTGCCTTTTTATAACGAGCGGTTTCTCGTGTGAGCCGGTGGGCAGTCCTAGCGGCTGAGCGAATACGTAACCTGCAAGCAAGTGTGTGTGTGTGATTGTTGAATTGGCATTTAGGACGGGTTCAGTTTTACGTCAGTAAAATAACTTAACGCCGCGACCAAAGTGACAATGATCTTGAAAAGAGATAATGTCTGAGGATATTACACTGGGGAAAAAAAACACATTGGATCTTGAGTCCAGACTATTGAAAACATTGACAAGAAAAATTACTCTTGATTCAATCGGATTTTTGCTTGAATCAAAACGAAATCCGCTTAAATTAAGAGGCTTGGCTCTTGATTTAAGCTCGATTCTGATTGAATCAAGAGTGCTTTTTCTTGTCGATGTTTTTAAGAGTCTGGACTCTAGATCCAATGTGTTTCTTTTCCAGTGTAGGATTGGACGTTCATATAATAACACCTTAAAAAACTAATGGGTTGAAAGTGAATGAAACGTAGTCAAACAGGTGTGATTATTCCGTTATTAAAGTAAATAAGGTATGGCAAAATAGGGCACGGAGCATACATTATTTACTATAATAACGTCAAAATCACACCTATTTGACTATAGGCTTCATTCGCTTTTAACCCATTATTTTTTCAGGTTGTTAATATTTGAACATCCAATTATAAGTATACCTAGTCTCAAACTTGTACTCCTCGATCTCACCGAATTGAAAATTGTAAAAACTCGTTAATAAACCTTATATTCTCTTTTATATGTATGATGACAATAGAAATAAAAATCAAGGGCTTAACGTGAAAAACTCTCAACGTGCTGTTGACACAACAAAAGCAGGCGCATTAATCGTTCATGTTGAATCGGCTCAGATGTAAAAGGGAAAACAGTACCGGATGACTCAGAAAAATGTCGAAAACCTGCCAAGATCGAAGCAAGGGCGGCTGTGTACACGGCATTTGGTCTAAAGTTGTAATAGCTGTAAGACATGCTCTCCCCGATCCGAAGCCAACTGTTGAGAAATAATTCGTCGCGACCGTGAATATTCTACTTCCTTCTGAACTCGGTTGGCAGCTATAGGCCAAGGTGGTTTTCAAATGGTATTACGCAGTGATTGAGAATTCGAAGTAACCCTCCAATTTCAACCCCTTAATTTAGGATTCTTCTTATCAGAAGTTGTTGTTTTCCACACAAATTTTCAAAAACCCATCATAGTTACGAGAAAAATCGCCATTGGGAATAAATGCTTCACTTGCAAATCGTTTTCTGCGGAACCATTTTTGTCGAGTCGTGTTAAAAAATTGGCATACGTGGTTTTGACATTTAGCCTCTCCGATATTTCATAGCGTAAGTTAGGTGCTGTTCAAATCATGTTTGTACCAACTTAGAGTGTGAGGTTATGTAGTTCGGTCTGAGAGTTTTTAGCATCAGACAAAGCGGACAAAAGGTTCAAATTGTTCTTTCCTAAGACTGCGTTCTTAAAAATCAGCAACCAGCAGATTTCTTACAGCGAAAAGATGTAATCAGTATTTTCCTTGAAACATAGCAGAGTGCACGGTAGCGAGGAAAACCCCCTTCAATTCCCAACCTAGGCAAATCACTACATTCGTGTGCGAATAGTTGCTTTTCATCTAAAATGCGCGTCGCTGCCTCCTATTGAAATAATTCCTGCATTTTCCTCCGTAAAGCAATTGATGTAAGCCGCCAAAGAGTCAAATCTCATCACTATCATGTATTTTATAATTTTATGGTCCAGCCTAAATATTGAACCAACTTTTGATTCCATGCTTTTATTTCAATTACTTTATTTTATTTTTCCTTCTGCTTTCAGTTGTGGAACGCTACAACGCGACAGTGACATGGTGTCTCGTCGGAGGATCCTGTCGCGGTCTCGCGACGATTTGAGTCTAGACGTGGCCGCACCAGAGGAAGAAGAAGATGTCTGGTACCAGAGAGACAAACTTTACAAGGTAATTATTGCGATTCTTCCCGTCATTAACTTAAATTTCAAAGGAAACTGCAAAGATCAAATCGCATAGAAAAGATCACTGGAAAAAAAACACATTGGATCTAGAGTCCAGACTCTTGAAAACATCGACAAGAAAAAGTACTCTTGATTCAATCAGAATCTAGCTTAAATCAAGAACCAAGCCTCTTAATTTAAGCGGATTTCGTTTTGATTCAAGCAAAAATCCGATTGAATCAAGAGTATTTTTTCTTGTCAATGTTTTCAAGAGTCTGGACTCTAGATCCAATTGTATTTTTTTCCAGTGATGACCACGGACGTAAAATGGCCACCATTTCCTCTCTCCCTTCTCGGCCAAAACTTATCTTGACCCAAAATACTTCTGTTTAGCTTGAATTCGTGATCAGGTAATACACGAGCATTACTCTTCGTTACAACGTTGCGAGTTATTTTTTTTTGATATCTGGTGCGATTTGGATTGAAAAGTACCTCTATTTGTGAGCTAAGTGGGTGACTTGAGGGTGTTACGTGAGATGAACGTTATGAAAATGTCGCGCGCCAGGCGTCACGTACGTCACGAACTCGGAAACGGCCCCGGCCACCACGTCGCGCACGAACAAAGGCTTGCCGAAGGGCTTTTCTGCGCCATTGCCAATTTTCACGTGAAAAGCTCCTCATTTTGTAGGAAAGTTTGAACTATTCTTCGAAAATTGGCGCTATTTTGTTCTTTTGCTTTTCAAAAAAAAAACACTAAGTATTCTTTTCTTCCTTTATATTTTTCCGTCACTTTTATCCCTCTATTCATGTTTTCACAAATATTAAATAGAAAGGACAAAGCTTATGTTCATCAGTGGTTTTAATGAGTCTGAATTAATGTTCAGACCACTCACTTCCTTTTATTTTTTTCTCGTTATTTTGCTCTCAATTCTTCTATTCTGGGGGCGGAGGGGGGAGGGGCAATGTAGACGTCACGTATCTTTTAAGAGGTAGGTAGCGTGTTTAAAAATCTGAGTTTTAGCTTCACATTGGCGGATCCAGCAAGTTGGCAACTTATTTTTCGCCATTTAAACCTATGGAAATGTATCAATTCTTGAAGGGGCCAGGTGCTCCGAGAAGAACCGATTATTTAACATAGGTTTAAATGGAGGAAATCATATGTTGCCAAATTGCTGGATCCGCCCCTGGCGTTACATGTTCCAAGAATGCGGTCCCTAAATACAATGTGGTTGTATTTAGTCGGCAAGACCGATATGTGGTTGGCAAGTCCGAAGCACGTGTTTTTCTAGTTTCACCGCCGATATTTACGTCGCCCACGGCTCAAAAACTCTTCGACGCCGTAAAATTACATTCGGTAGGTTAGAAATATGTATCTTTCTATTAAGGTTAGGTGCAAGACGTTTCGCGTTCGGCGGCGCAACGCACGCGATTGCCCATCGCGCGCCGGGTCCTACTCATACGTCACCGCGACGCGTCGTGGCGAAAGTTGTGTTGCGTGTCATGACTTTTCCCACGGAGAAAGATTGACACGAGTTCTGTGTCACCAACGGCCAGGATTCGCGGAAAGCGTCCTCGCAACCCGGAACTTTCGACGAGTGATGAATTTATGAATTGAAAATTGCTCTGACGCAATCATGTCTGGAGCGAAAAGGGAACATAGACATAGGGGACAAGAGACACAGATAGAAGTAGAGGGATGGCTGGATCGTGTGTCTCTTGATACAGCGGAACCGTCGCGTCATTCTTAATCTTAGCTGATCCTAGGTTGAGTCGACGTAATCGTCCATTATAAGTTCGCGCACGAGACATTATGTTTTGCGATGTTGGGCTTTAATTGTAATGGAGATATGGAGTCAGGTAAAGGGACGAGGAACTTGCGGGAGAAAATTTTATTGCTTTATTTGAAAGTGCTTGAATTGCTGAGTCCGCAGTATTTTTACGGGTTTTCTGAGATATGAGAAATGGGAGGAAAATGGGTTTAGAAGTGAGAAAATTAATGGCCTTTTAACGTTATGCATGGGAAAAGTACGATCATTTCAATTGCTTTCATAGCTGATATGGCGCCAACCAGAAAGGTGGTTGCACCAACTAGAGGTACACATCGTCACCTTTCGGTCAAAGTATCACAAGCACCATGTGACATTTCAAACTTTCTGCCGCCATTTCATTTTTTTATAGAGAAATGTTCAACGAAGCTGTCCAAAAATTTCACTGAATTTTCTTTGTGCTGCCGACAAAATTCAGTGAAATTTTCGGACAGCTTCGTTGAATAATATTTCTATAAAAGGTAAAATGGCGCCAGAAATTTTGAAACGTCGCATGGCGCTTGTGATACTTTGGCCGGGAGGTAACGACATATGGTTGATTCATCCCAATTTCATCACCCATACCTCTAGCTGCACTGGAAAAAAAAGTCGCTTGGATCCAGAGTCCAAACTCTTGAAAACACTGACAAGAAAGAGGACTCTTGATTCAATCAGATTTGATCTTAAAACCTCTTAATTTGAGCTGATTTCCTCCTGATTTAAGCTTAAATCTGATTGAATCAATAGTTCTTTTTCTTGTCAATGTTTTCAAGAGTCTGTACTCTAGATCCAATGTGTTTTTTTTTCCCAGTGTGGTGCTATTATTAGCAAGGAATGTATCTGAAATTATCATACTATTTCTCTTGAAATAGTATGGTTTAAAATAGTTCTCTTGCCAGCCTGCAAGAGACTTTCCTCCTCTCAGACAGAATGCACTTTACCCGGATGCTTTTGGGTGTACAACGAAAACGAGTTCATCTGAACGACGAGGTCTCCGAAAAACCGGGGAAATTATGTAAACTTACGAGCGGTGGGGGGCCAGAGTGGTCTCGTAATTAGTATGTTAGTGTGCCTCCGACAGAAACTGGAAGTTCGTCTATCTCCGGCGTGACGTGAACTTTAACCGGGGCCCACCTCCCCCCCCAACCCATTCCTCCCACACTCGAGATGCACTCCGCACATGAAGAGATGAAGCCATCTAAAATTAAGCTCGTCAGCTGTCAGTGTCATGTTGTCAAATCGTGCCTACTTGCTCCGCCTTATTTCACACCCATTTTTCCTGAGTGACGTTCGAATCCCGCGAACCTGTCCGGGGTGGGGTGAAGTGGGGATCTGAGTGGGGTCTTATCCTAGAAACTTCGACAGAAAAACACATCAACATGCACTCTGACTTAGAAGAGTGTCAATGACGTAGCCATGCACAGACGCTTTTTGGCATTGATTTTCTTGGAAATAGTGTAGTTCATGGAAAGAAGTCATTCTACATATACATGAAGTGTTCGAGATTACATTTGACGTACGCAAAAAAACGAAATTATGGTCCGTTTTTCATACTTTTTGAATTTCAGATTTTGCTAGATTATCGCCGTTATGTTGTATCTACCTACGTCATCGGGTATACAAATCCTCAAAATGCGACCACCTCCTCTTTTTGTCTATGCTTGAACGCCAAACAACCAGTCTCTATATCCATGAACATGAAAAAACAAAAATTTTCCTATCTTATTGTAGTTTCTTATTGCGAAGTGCAGCCAATTTATGACACGCTTTGGGGAAAGAAATCTGACATCAAAAATTTGAATTTTTTTACGTATTCTTACAGAGAAGATTGAACCCAAACTTACCATGAAATATCTGTAATTGATTGAATCTTGACGATTTAAATGTCACTCTTTGAAAAATTTAGAGTATCAAGGGGCATCTAAAGTTTCGATCCGAACTTGGTTCCGCTCTGTTTCATTCAATCCAAATAACGTCGTACGTTAAAGGTCCAGTTACACGATCAAATTGAGCCATCAAATTGAGCCATCAAATTGGGCCTCTCATTGGTTGCATCCTCACCTCAGGTCTTTTTCCACCAATCAGAGCTTCAGTTTGATGGCTCACTTTGATCGTGTAACTGAACCTTAAGCGTGTATTGTATATAATTCTTCTGATTTGAATGAAATCTGGCAACTTGGCACGCGAGGGCGCGGGAGTAGGAGGGAAAAGATCCGCGTTGTGAGGGTTTGGGGCTCGGCAGTTGACGACCACAAGTAGCTACTTTCACCCGGTTTTTTTATCAAGGTTAGAATCGGAGCACATCCAATCCTGTCAATTAATCGTCCCTAATTTGCTACAACTAGCTGCAATGCTTCCTCCAACTCGCCGTATCCCTGCCCCGAGTAGGTCACGTCCAGAAGATGCACCACTGTGCGGTATTGCCACAATTTTCGGGAAACCTTTTTAATGACGTAAATCTCATTTTGAGGTCCGGAACAACTTATGACTCGGGATGATTTGACAACGGTGCATGTTGGAACTTTGAGCTGTCTTTGCTTTGTGAATAAGTCATAAGATAATTATCTCAAAAGCGCATCATTGTTCTGAGCCGGTTGAACAAGCAGATACGGAGGTGTTTCCATGTTCTGCCCACCGAGAAGCCACTGCACTTTTGCAATGGTGCCGAACGGCTGTGCACAGTAGGGAAGCTCTTTCGCGAGAGTATACCCATCGTAGTTCCTAAACCTTAAATAATTTGTCATTTCGGACTTTCGTGGAGCCCCGAGGGCCGCATACACGGTAATAAGTATACACGTCACAACAAACATCGAGTTTTTGACCCAGAGACAATATATTTTAGATACCTCACCGTCCTATTTTCTATCAAGCAATGTAACTTGCGAGGCAAATGACATTGAGGCCCCTAGTTCCGAACCCGGCAGTCTCTATTGCCCTGTCTAAAAATTGTGCGATCATTATAATTTTAAAAGTGAAAGAACGAAAAAACCTACATGTTTATATTTTCTCGTGAATTTTCTGTTATTAAGTGAGAAAATTGTGAACATTTTAAGAACAGCTAGACGTTTTGATCGTCCTTCACAGAAAATTAATATGATCGCACAATGTTTAGACAGGGCAATGGAGATTGCCTGGTTTCGAACTAGGAGCCTCAATTATGTTCGTAGGTCAACGCTAATTTTTACCTAACGATGATAGGTGA